GAGGAGGAGGAGGAGGAGGAGGAGGAGGATCGAGGAGGAGGAGGAGGAGGAGGAGGTGGAGGAGGAGGAGGATCGAGGAGGAGGAGGAGGTGGAGGAGGAGGAGGAGGACGAAGGACGAAGGACGAGGTGGAGGAGGAAGAGGAGGAGGCGGAGGAGGAACGAGAAGACGCGAGCATGGATCAGGGCGCGCGGATTGGCGACGGGTTCCGCTTCCATACCAGATCGGCAGCGCTCCGTCTCCAAATCGGGCGGCACTGGCGTCATGGTGCGCCAGATCCACGGGTCCGTTGTCCATGTCAAAGTGCGCCCGAGAGGACGGGGGAGATGAGGAAGAGCATGCAGAGCAGGACGAGGAGGAGGAGGAGGTATCGTGTTTTTGGTGTTGTCCGTGCGTTGCTGCGGAACGAGGCTGGTGCCAGGGTGCAGATGGGATGGGGATGAAGCGGCGAGGGGAAATAGGAGGAAGACCAGAGTAAGCCCAAGATGCATTACCGATGTTGCAACACCCTCCCGTACCCAGTGCCCCTAGAAGTATTCAGTTCCCCTCTTTTGACAGATGAACGTCCCGTTAGCCTGCCATTCATGCGAGACTCCGTTGTGTAAAGGACTTGGAGTTACAGTCCACCATCTTATAGATGCGATGTCCAAGCAGGGCCGCACCTTTACAGAGAGTGTCAAGCGAGAACTACGTATTGAAATTGAGATGTGCCCTCCATCCTCTTTAGGGTCGTCCAATGTCAAAGTTTGTTGTGTTGCAAGCTCAGAGGAAGTCATTAGCGAGAGCCTTATGAAAGCATGAGTCGCCCTTCCTCCGCGTAACTCGTCCATGAAGGTGAGCTTCGGGTCTCAGGTTCCGATGAAATCTCAAGCGGGAACCGCCCTCCCTCCGCGTAGCCATTGGAGTATGTTTACTTAGCATCGCTCGGACGTGTGCATTTTTTCTCGGTGGGGAACATCGAGGAGCATCCTTGGTCATATAGGGAAACAACCACGCACGAAACCGAACAAAAAACACAGGGAATGGACGTCCGAGCGATGGCGAGTTTAAGCGAGTCTGCGCGGCGCCAGTTCTTGGAGCCCCATGCTGGAAACGGGCCGCCCTCCGTCCGTGCAAGTGTTGAAAAGGGCGCGTGGCGCCAGGGCGAGCTCCCCCTCTTTTGAGAACTGTTCGTGATCCGCCCCTGAAGATGTGGTACATGTCTGTGTGAAAAAAAAAAAGAAAAAAAAAAAAAAAAAAAAAAAACTGTGGGACAAAAACGCAAAACACAAACAACACACACACACACACACACACTGTGTGTGTGTTTGTGTGTGTGTTTTGTTTTTCCCACAGTGTGTGTTTTTCCCATTGTGTGTGTTTGTTTCCCCACAGCTTCGGGGCCATGAGTTGTGAGGAAGTCGTCTCAGGTGAAACGCCCGGCCCGCCCCACCGGCACGCCTGGTGGTGCGACACAGAGGAGGCACCTGCTGATGAGGCAAGGGGTGGAGAGGACGCAGCAGGGGGAGGGAGCGCGCCGGACGCGCGGGGGCGCAGGAGCGGGAGGGAAGGAGGTGAGACGCAGGTGGAACGGGCGGCACGTGGGCGGACCCAGACACTCGGGTCCTCCCAGATGGGTTCCGACTGGATGGGGTCGGAGGATGCCCGCATCGCCGATGCATCGCCGATGCGGCTCGATGTGGAGCCTGATTGTGACCACGACGACTTCGCCGATGCGTCGGCGATGCGGCGCGGTCCTCCGACCCCATCTACTCGGACCCGATCCAGAAGGCCTCTGGATAGACATGCGACTTCTAATCGTTTTCAATACTGGGTCCCCAGAAGTCACTCTTGGGAGGCTGAATTCAGCATCGGCTCTGGTATACGTGCCATGGTCCAGCCGTGGCCAAATCTAGCCTAATCCCGTTGACTTCCGCTTAATATTGTTCAATATGGCCTAATATCCTGGCAAATCATTGTTAATTCCGGACCTAATCCAGCCTCGGCTGGCTGAGTGGCCTACCAAGCGGGCCTAGTAGCGTTCCCACGAAGACCTCCCAGGAGATTGTCCTTTTGATCCCGTGAGTGAACCCCTCCCCCCCCCGAAGTGCTGGTGCTCGCGCGCGCACTTCGGCGACGGCAGTGCACGCCCGCCCCAACAGGCCCCCGCTGCCCGGTGCCCCAGACCCCCCCGCGCCAAGTGGCGACCGCTGCCCGAAATATAGGGCAGCACAAGTTCCAGGGATGCCTCCTGACCCTTGCCCCAGCCCCCCTCACCAAGTGACGGCCGTGCCCGAAATATACATGATGCAGCAATCTTCCAGGGACGCTTCCTGACACACGGGCCCCAACCGCCCGCCTCCCCTAGAAAGCGACGACCGCTGCCCCCAAAATGTGACAGAACAATGTTTCCAGGGATGCTTCTTGACCTGGGCCCCAACCACCCGCCTCCCCCCAAAGTGACGACCGTTGCCCCGAATATATGGCAAAACCATCTTCCAGGGATGTGTCCTGATTCAGGTCACAATTACTCGCTTTCCCCTAAAGTGACGATTGTTGCCCCAAACACATGGCAACACAACATTCCAAGCATGTGTCCTGACCTAGGCCCCCCCCCCCCAAAGTGACGAGCTCAGTGCCCGAAGGGCACGGCAGAACCCTTTCCGGAGGGCCGCTTCCCGACACGGGGGGCGGCTTGCGCGCGCCGCCCAGGGCCCAGCCCGCGCTGCCAGCCGCGCTGCCGCCGCGCCCGGGCGGCCCGGGCGCCGCGGCGCTCGGGGCTCAAGAGACGGGAGTCAGTGCAAGCGCTTGGCATCGCTCGGACGTGTGCATTTTTCCTTCGGCGCGGGCCATCGAGGAGCATCCTTGATCATTTGGAGAAAAAGACGAAACAACAAAAAAAACAGGGAATGGACGTCCGAGCGATGGCCAGAGCGGGGGTCAGCCAGCACGCCCGATCTTGCAGCCTCCTGCAGGGCCAGGGTCGCCTGGGCCCGGGTCTGGGCGCAGGATCCTGCAGGCTCCTGCAGGATCCTGCAAGGCCTGATTGACACTGGTTTGGAGTGGCCGGGGTCAGTACTCAGGAGGGGGAAAACACACACACAGACGCAAGTAATCGTCGATCCCCCGGAAAATACGGGAAAATATGGGCAGTGGGGGGGAAGACGAAAACCCAGAAAATATGAGGAAATATGGGGAATCGGGTTATTAGTGTGTATTTATTTGCGTGTCCCAGGGCCCCTTCAAGTACGTCCCCGAGGCGCGCCCGCGCGCCCGCCTGACGGGGCCCGCGCGCGCGGCGGGCGCCCGCGGCCCAGGCCGCCGGGGGGTGGTGCTGCGGGCCGCCGGGCGGCGCGGCAACCCGTACGACGTGCTAGGCCTGGCGCGCGGCGCCGAGGACCGAGGATTTTTTTCCCAACCCTCCTGCGTTGGGCATTCGTTTTGAATAGAGCACTGCGGTCGCGTCTTCCCTCCTTCTCCTTCCCGTCCCTCTCCTCTCCTCCCTTCTCCTCCTCCTCCTCTGTTCTCTTGCATCCCTTCTCCTCTCTTCGCTCCTCCTCTTCTCTCTTGCTTCCCTTCACCTCTCAACTTCGGTCCTCCTCTTCTCTCTTGCCTTTTACGTCGCTTGTCCCTCGCCATCCCTCGCCATCCCTGGGGGGCTGCGATCTGTGAAACTGGCGCCACTTTCGAGGGCTGCTGGGGGGTTCAGCGGAGTGACGTCCTACGGGGACTCAGATTAGACCTCGCCATCCCTGGGGGGCTGCGATCTGTAAAACTGTCGCCACTTTCGAGGGCTGCTGGGGGGGCCAGCACAGTGACGTCTTACGGGGACTCAGATTAGACCTCGCCATCCCTGGGGGGCTGCGATCTGTGAAACTGTCGCCACTTTCGAGGGCTGCTGGGGGGCCCAGCACAGTGACGTCCTACGGGGACTCATATTAAACCTCGCCGTTCCTGGGGGGCTGCGATCTGTGATACTGTCGCCACTTTCGAGGTCTGCTGGGGGGCCCAGCGGAGTGATGTCTTACGGTGACTCAGATTAGACCTCGCCATCCCTGGGGGGCTGCGGTCTGCGAAATTGTCGCCACTTTCGAGGGCTGCTGGGGGGGCCCAGCACAGTGACGTCTTACGGGGACTCAGATTAGACCTCGCCATCCCTGGGGGGCTGCGATCTGTGAAACTGTCGCCACTTTCGAGGCCTGCTGGGGGGCCCAGCACAGTGGACGTCTGACGAACCTCGCCATCCCTGGGGGCTGCGATTGTGAAACTGTCGCCACTTTCGAGGGCTGCTGGGGGGCCCAGCACAGTGACGTCCTACGGGGACTCAGATTAGACCTCGCCATTCCTGGGGGCTGCGATCTGTGAAAAATGTCGCCACTTTCGAGGGCTGCTGGGGGGCCCAGCACAAACTCAGTAGACCTCGCCATCCAGGCTGCGATCCGTGAAACTGTCGCCACTTTCGAGGGCTGCTCAGCGATCTTGAAGACCTCGCCATCCCTGGGGGCTGCGATCTGTGAAATTGTCGCTTTCGACTTCTGAGGCCTGCTGGGGGGCCCAGCACAGTCTGCACCCGCGCGGCGGATTCAAATGGGACCTCGCCATCCCTGGGGGGCTGCGATCTGTGAAACTGTCGCCACTTTCGAGGCCTGCTGGGGGGCCCAGCACAGTCTGCACCCGCGGCGGACTCAAATGGGACCTCGCCATCCCTGGGGGGCTGCGATCTGCGAAACTGTCGCCACTTTCGAGGGCTGCTGGGGGGCCCAGCACAGTCTGCACCCGCGGCGGATTCAAATGGGACCTCGCCATCCCTGGGGGGCTGCGATCTGTGAAACTGTCGCCACTTTCGAGGCTGCTGGGGGGCCCAGCACAGTCTGCACCCGCGGCGGATTCAAATGAGACCTCGCCATCCCTGGGGGGCTGCGATCTGCGAAACTGTCGCCACTTTCGAGGCCTGCTGGGGGGCCCAGCACAATCTGCACCCACGGCGGATTCAAATGGGACCTCGCCATCCCTGGGGGGCTGCGATCTGTGATGCTGTCGCCACTTTCGAGGGTGCCGGGGGGGGCCAGCACAGTGGGTACACACGGCGGACTCAAATTGGACCTCGCCATCCTTGGGGGGCTGCGATCTGCGAAACTGTCACCACTTTCGAGGGCTGCTGGGGGGGCCCAGCACAGTGACGTCTTACGGGGACTCAGATTAGACCTCGCCATCCCTGGGGGGCTGCGGGGCTGCGATCTGTGAAACTGTCGCCACTTTCGAGGGCTGCTGGGGGGCCCAGCACAGTGGGTACCCACGGCGGGTTCAAGTTAAACCTCGCCATCCCCGGGGGGCTGCGATCTGTGAAACTGTAGCCACTTTCGCGGCCTGTTGGGGGGCCCAGCACAGTGATGCCACACGCAGATCCAACTTAGACCTCGCCATCCCTTGGGTGTTGCGATCTGTGAAACCGTCGCCACTTTCGAGGCCTGTTGGCGGGGCCCAGCACAGTGACGCCTCCCAAGTAGCTTACACATCAAGTTGATTGTCCATACAAGTTTCGGCCAACTCCTCGTTTCCATTGATACAAATGGGTTGGGTACGTCACAGGGTAATTTTTGAGGGGGAGGGAAGAGGAGGAGGAGGAGGAGGAGGAGGAGGAGGAGGAGGAGGAGGAGGGAGGAGGAGGAGGAGGAGGAGGAGGAGGAGCAGAGGAGGAGGAGGAGGAGGAGGAGGAGGAGGAGGAGAGGAGGAGGAGGGGGTGGAGGAGGAGGAGGAGGAGGAGGAGGAGGAGGAGGGAGGAGGAGGGGAGGAGGAGGAGGAGGAGGAGGAGGAGGGGGTAGGAGGAGGAGGAGGAGGAGGAGGAGGAGGAGGAGGAGGAGGAGGAGGAGGAGGAGGAGGAGGAGGAGGAGGGAGGGTGGAGGAGGAGGAGGAGGAGGAGGAGGAGGAGGAGGAGGAGGAGGAGGAGGAGGAGGAGGAGGAGGAGGAGGAGGAGGAGGGGGCTGGAGGAGGAGGCGGAGGAGGAGGAGGAGGAGGAGGAGGAGGAGGAGGAGGAGGAGGAGGGGATTTGTCCCAACCCTCCTTGGTTGGGTATTCGTTTTGAATAGAGCACTGTGGACGCGTCCCTCCTTCTTCTCCCGCCTCCTCCTGCCCTCTCTTCGCCGACGATGGAGGCTGCGATCTGCGAAACTGTCGCCACTTTCGAGGGCTGCTGGTGGGTCCAGCGGAGTGAGGCGCCGCGCGGATCTGAGCGGGACCTCGCCGTGCCTGGAGGGTTGCGATCTGCGAAACCGTCGCCACTTTCGAGGGCTGCTGGTGGGTGCAGCGGAGTGAGGCACCGCGCAGATCTGAGCGGGACCTCGCCGTGCCTAGGGGGCTGCGATCTGCGAAACCGTCGCCACTTTCGAGGGCTGCTGGTGGGTGCAGCGGAGTGAGTCACCGCGCAGATCTGAGCGGGACCTCGCCGTGCCTGGTGGGCTGCGATCTGTGAAACTGTCGCCATTTTCGAGGGCTGCTGGTGGGTCCAGCGGAGTGAGGCACCGCGCAGATCTGAGCGGGACCTCGCCGTGCCTGGGGGCTTCGACTCTGCGAAATTGTCGTCACTTTCGAGGGCGGCTGGTGGGTACAGCGGAGTGAGGCACCGCGCAGATCTGAGCGGGACCTCGCCTGCTAGGGGGCTGCGATCTGCGAAGTTGTCGCCACTTTGAGGGCTGCTGGTGGGTTTCAGCGGAGTGAGGCACCGCGCCCGAATCTGAGCGGGACCTCGCCGTGCTTGGGGGGCTGCGATCTGCGAAGTTGTCGCCACTTTCGAGTTCTGCTGGTGGGTCCAGCGGAGTGAGGCACCGCCGACCGCGCAGATCTGAGCGGGACCTCGCCGTGCCTGGGGGGCTGCGATCTGCGAAGCAGTCGCCATTTTCGAGGGCTGCTGGTGGGTGCAGCGGAGTGAGGCACCGCGCAGATCTGCGCGGGACCTCGCCGTGCCTAGGGGGCTGCGATCTGCGAAATTGTCGCCACTTTCGAGGGCTGCTGGTGGGTCCTGCGGAGTGAGGCACCGCGCGGATCTGAGCGGGACCTCGCCGTGTTTGGAGGGCTGCGATCTGCGAAACCGTCGCCACGTTCGAGGGCTGCTGGTGGGTGCAGCGGAGTGAGGCACCGCGCAGATCTGAGCGGGACCTCGCCGTGCCTGGGGGGCTTCGATCTGCGAAATTGTCGCTACTTTCGAGGGCTGCTGGTGGGTGCAGCGGAGTGAGGCACCGCGCAGATCTGAGCGGGACCTCGCCGTGCGTGGTGGGCTGCGATCTGCGAAACTGTCGCCATTTTCGAGGGCTGCTGGTGTGTCCAGCGGAGTGAGGCCCCACGCAGATCTGAGCGGGACCTTGCCATCCTTGAGGGGCTTCGATCTGCGAAGTTGTCGCCATTTTCGAGGGCTGCTGGTGGGTCCTGCGGAGTCAGGCACTGCGCAGATCTGAGCGGGACCTCGCCGTGCGTGGTGGGCTGCGATCTGCGAAACTGTCGCCACTTTCGAGGGCTGCTGGTGGGTCCAGCGGAGTGAGGCACCGCGCAGATCTGAGCGGGACCTCGCCGTGCTTGGGGGCGCTGCGATCTGCGAAACCGTCGCACTGTTCGAAGGCTGGTGGCGGGTTCAGCGGAGCGAGGCACCAGGCAGATCTGAGGGAGACATCGCAACCCTTGGGGTCTGCAAGCCTCACGAATGCCGCTCGCAGAAGTATATGCGCCCATGTCACGTCATCACTTCCGCATAACGTCTCCCAAGCTCCTCGTGCCCCGCATTGCGCAGGGGTTGGGTACGTCGCCAGGGTATGTTTGTTTAGGAGGAGGAGGAGGAGGAGGGGGAGGAGGAGGAGGAGGAGGGGGAGGAGGAGGAGGAGCAGGAGGAGGAGGAGGAGAAGGAGGAGGAGGAGGCGGCGGAGGAGGAGGAGGAGGAGGAGGAGGGGGAGGAGGAGGAGGAGGAGGAGGGAGAGGAGGAGGAGGAGGAGGGAGAGGAGGAGGAGGAGGAGGAGGAGGAGGAGGAGGAGGAGGAGGAGGAGGATCACCCTTCCTCCAAACCTCCCTCTTCGTAGGCCCCTACAACGGTTCATTTCCATTGAAGGGACTGCCTTGCTGGAAGACAACACTTTGAAGACCTTGAAGCGTGCCAAAACATTGTTCTCGGGAGTTCCAGGCCACGGATCAACGGGACTGCTGCGTCCTGACGATCTGGAATCGTGCCAGAACGCCATTTTCAGGGCCTACAACAGTTTGAAGACCTTGAAGCATGCCAAAGCATTGTTCTCGGGAGTTCCAGGCCACGGATCAACGGGACTGCTGCGTCCTGACGATCTGGAATCGTGCCAGAACGCCATTTTCAGGGCCTTCAATCCGTTAACTTCGTATACTGTGTAAAGCAAATGTGCGCGGCGCTGAGGCGAGAATCACATTTTGAAAACGACCCGCCACCATTCCGTGCAACTCATTGCAAATCTTTGAGACAGATGTGTGCGGCGCTAAAGCGAGAACCACATTGCGAAAACGACGCGCTCTCCATCTGTGAAACTGTTGCCAATTTTTAAGCTTCAGAGTCATACATGGTGAGGAAGTCTCAGGCGAAACGCCTGGCTTTGTGATGGGAAGCGCGACGCTCCCACACCAAAAATTCGTGGACGTCCTGGGGTCTCAGGGTTGGGTTACTTGTGGAGGGCTTCTTGTGGTCAGGCCCTCACTGCATCGAACAGCTCGACGCAGTTTTGCCCACAGCCTGTGGCCTCTCGGCCCCTCGCGGGGCCCCGGGGCCGTCAAAGAGGCCCATGATGCAGAGCCAGCCCTGGATCGGCGACCACAACACGGCATGGTCACGCCAGGGTGTGGCCTGCGATCGGCGCCGTTGGGGCCTGGGGGGCACGACGCTGTCCTCGGCGGGCCGCCCCGGGGCGCGGCGGAGAGCTGTCGAGGTCCGCGCCCGCCCCCCAGGGTGCCCCCTCTATATGTAGGGTGCGGGTTGCCGAGCACACCCTGTGCAGACCACACCCTTTGGAGCCGCCGACCGGGCAGCGGGGCGGGATTCCCCAGGGCCGACTCGACCTGAGAAGGAGGAAAGGATGCCGACGCCGCTGCTCGTCCTGGAGAGCCCTCGTCGCCACGACTGGATCCTCCTCGAGATTCTTGTCATAGCGCACCCCGGGAGAGGTCCATGGAGTAGCAGTACCGGTACCTTTTTCGCTTCCCTTGCAGCATGGGGAAACCATACATCGTACGTCTGGGAAGAAGGGAAGAACCTTGCATAAACATTACTTGTTGGAGCTTCCGGGGCCTGGGCCTCTGGTTGACGGGGGCGCCGCGGTTGGAGCCTTGGAGGGCGTGGCTGCCCTCGCTGATGCGCCGCGAGGAACGACACAACGGCGTAAACATAAGTTGTCGGAGCTCCGCGCTGATTTCTCGGACCGGCGCTGGGCCCCCAGCTTGCGGCGCCTTTGGCGCCGCCCTGGCGCGCGGAGGGGGGTCTAGCGTTAAGTCGGGCTTGTCCCTTTACAGGAGGGACATATAAACAATAATTAGGGGACGATGTTTTAAAAGTATTTCTAGGTATGCTTGAATATTTGAAGGGTATTCTTTATTTTTCGTCCAAGCTCCGCCTGTAGGGGGACACGCCCGACCTGACTCTGGCGCCGCCCCGGCGCGCGGAGGGGGGCCTGGCGCCAATCCCAGAGAGCCGTGCGGACCTCCGAAAGTTTGTGCTTCTGCCGCTTGGCATCGCTCGGACGTGTGCATTTTTCCTTCGGCGCGGACCATCGAGGAGCATCCTTGATCATTTGGAGAAAAACCACGCACGAAACTGAAAAAAGCACAGGGAATGGATGTCCGAGCGATGGCCAGGCCGTTCTTATTTCCCTCTGGAGGAGTCGGCCGTGCGGCCGGCCTTCCGGAAGCTCGCCGCGAGGCTTCACCCGGACGTGCCGGGCACGGGCGACGCAGAGGCCTTCCGGGAGGTCGCGTGGGCCTACAAGGAGCTGTCGGGTGCGGCGGGGCGACGGCGCTGGGCCGCCGAGGACCCTCGACTGGCAGGCGACGGAGCTCGGCGCTCACCGAGCGTGTCTCATGATTCGCCATGGAGGAAACTTGCCAGCCTCGAACGTATCCCTATCCCTAAGATTGACACGCCAAAAGGCGATGACAATAATAGGGATTCGCCCTCGAAAAAAAAGGGCATCGTGATGAGGAGATGCCCAGCATAGGGATAGGGATATGTTCCAAGCTGGTTAGAAACGGGTCGTGAGGTTGATCGTCGTGTTCGGACTCTCGGGACCCTCCACGGGCCCCAGGACCTGCCAGAGAACGACTCCGGGTGAAGCTCTCGTCCTGGGGGAGGGCGCCAGGGTACAGGACCCGCTTCCCTCAGGACCCGCTTCCACCACGTTGAACGATTCGCCAAGAAAGTGCCTATTTGCAAACGTCCGACAACACACACGTCTAGTTCGATGCAACGGATCGTATAGATGTATGTATAGATGTATAGATACCCCGCGGCGGGCACAGGCCATTTGCGAGCATACCGGGTATAGCCATGACCCTTGTTCAGGGGAGCCGGTTAGTGATTGGGCCCCGAAGCCCAACATGTGGATTGGAACCACTATACCAGGTATGCCGTAGCTGGTATTTACGGGTGACGGCAGTTCCGGGTAGTGGAATGGGGTGGGGGGGGTCGTTCTCCAGTACACATCATTAAACCAGGTCCCACTAAACCAAGTCTTGCCAACGCCCGAGAATGGTTGGCTTGCGAGTGGTGGAAAGCGCTTGTCTGAGCGCAAGCGGGGCTCAGCCAGAGCACCAGATCCTGCAGGATCTTGCAGAGCCGAGTTGGGGTTGAGCCAGGTTCAGGGAGCCGCTCACGGCCCCAGTGGAGGCCTTACATTCAAGCCAGGATTGTCCTCTACAGGGGGGATATTCAAAGATAGTCAAACAATAGTCTGGGGACGTTTTGTTTTACAAATTTTGTTTTTTGTATATGTTTCACTATTTTTGATGTTTCGCCCAAAATCCGTCTGTAGGGGGGCATGCCCGACCCAACCTTCTATTTGTGCGGAGCCAGGTCCTAGAAGTTCCATGCAACAACCTCGGCGCAGTTTCCTGCAGATGGATTCAGCCGGGTTTGCGCTGAGCAGGGCCCCTACCTTGAAAGCCCATTCGCCTTGTGGTTCGGTGATTCGCGGGATGAGTCGCAGGTTGTGCATCGGCATGCGGATTTACGCGCTTCGAGCTTTCTCGAGAGTGCCCAGGACGGGGACGTACAGCTTTTCGAGGCGCTCAAGTTTAAGCATCCAGCGGCCGACTGGCCTATGTTGTCGGACGAGCACGATCCTCAGTTGTATGATACGAGTGGACAAAAGATTCCTTGGGAGCAGTTCGACGGGTCTGCTTTGTGCCAAGCTGGAGACGGTTCATACATGAGACACAACATCCGTGAATTGTCGGGAGCAGCGTATTCGTGGATCTTCTTCGATTCGGAAGGGATGCAGGGATACATAGCTAGAGGGGATGTCTGGCCGAGCTTACCCCAAACGAGTCAAGCTGCTGAACACTTGCAACTGGCGTTACTTCCGATATATGTTACTTACAATGGACCCACTCTGTACAGCGATTTATGAATGCGGTGAAGCTGTATACTATGGAACCGTCAAGTCAGATGTCGGCTAAACAGCGGTATGGGGGTTTGAGAAGAGGGCCCTTGCTCCGCATGCGGGATTACGAGTATGCCCCAGTTGTTCACACCCCTGCCCATAGGAAACTAAAAGATATCGAGCAGCTGCCCCCGCCCGAGAGGTGTATCGGCCAGGCCAACTGGCGGGCGGATCGAGAGGCCAAGAGAGCTCTCGGCCTGCATCCTCGGGCTTCCGCCGCCGTGTGGCAGCAGGTTGACAGTTCGATCGAGGGCCTCGAAATGGTTGCGCGCCTCGCGGCGAACGTTTTGCCGTGTCTTCCGAAGTTGCACCGCCAGCGCCCACCGAGGCGTGAGCGCCCGCGTGAGGTGACCGAGCAAGCCACCAGCTGGCACAACTGGGAGAGCTGGCTTTGGGGCTGCAGGTGTGCCAAGTGTTGAGTTTGGCGTGGGGGCGACCTCCAGACACCGGCCAGAAGTAGGATGCCGGGGTCTCTCCCGAAGTTCAACCGAGCTCCTGGCAGAAGCCCCCGACAATGGACATAAGCTAGCGAGCGCGCAGGTTAGTGATGAAAAGTTGCCGTTCGTATGTTGCATGACCTGTGGGAGCTACTCACAAGAGAAGATGCGTAATCTGGCCACGAAGTGTGAACCCAAAGAGCACAGTGGAGGGGCCAATGCTCTGAGTAGGTTGAAGGGTGGCCTCCACCCCCAACGCAATGTTGCCGCGTCCTGTGCAGCGCAAGAGAAGCCAGCTGCAGGCGCAGCAGTTCGTTCTGTTGCTGCCGATTCGAGGGTGCGCCTTATCTCGTCGAGGGCGGCTCCCCTCGAATGCCTGGCTGCCATTCGTGCCCGCACTGCCGAGCGTGAGTCGGGAGAGCGGGTGGTGGCGGGAACGGGTGGCGGAGCGGAGTTCGCCTTGGTGGAGGAAATGGCAGTCGTGAGGCCCGCGGGCCCTCCGAATGCCGCGGGCCCCAGTTTGGGGGCTGCTGTCGGCACGAGGAGGGGGGATCGCGCCGCTGCCTCGTGCAGCGTGGGGCGGAATCCGCTGCCGCGGGGGGGTGGTAGGGGGGGGTCTCGGCGAGCACCCTAAGGCCACCCCCCCCAGGTCCTGCGCGCCCGCGCTTGGCGGGGGAAGGAGGATCCCCCCCCTCCGTTCCCCGGTCGGAGCAGAGGAGACCGCCCTTGACTGCTCTGGAGTGAGAGCCGACAGCAAGCAGGCCAGTCGTACCGTGCCCGCTGCAAGTTCCTCCGGTGTCTGGCGGAGCGTGCCGTCGGCCCTCCGAGAGGGCGAACACGATGCGCGTTTGGTCCCGATCCCTCGGTCCCGATCCCTCGCCAAGACGAGGTTCGGGATCGGACGAATGTTGAGGGGCTTGAGCTGATAGGCCACGGGGTGGCCTCCTCGCCCGAGGAGGCGACCCTGCGGCCTCGCATCTCTCCCCCGAGCTGGGTTTGGTCTTCGGGCCACTGGAGTGGCCGAGGCCTGGCGCCTCTGAGCTGGTTCGGCCATGTGTGGCCAAAACAAAGAAACACGCGCTTCGCCGGCGCTTCCTCATGGGAAGATAATCGTGAAGTGCCTCCGTCGCCCAATGGGTCCCTCACGTGGTCTGGCATCCATGGCGCGGGGTTCTCGCGCTCCCTGGGCATGCGCAGCGTCGGCCTCAACGCACGGGCCTGCGCAGCCGCCTCAACGAGCACGCGACCAGCGCCCAACAGGTGAGTCCAGATTTCCAGAGCCATGTTTTACATTGGTCAAGTTTTCCTTGCTCTTTCGAATTGGTGCTGATGTTCTAGATGTGCGGTGTGTCGCTGTTAGTTTGCGGTGTATCTTGAATTCTTGAAGTCCGCTTGCATGCTAGAAGGATTTGCGTTTCTTGAGCGCACGTGAGGGTTACATGGATGTGCTGTTCGATATCGCAGTTTTAGTATTCATGTTGGCGGTTTGGCAGAACACGCCCGAACATGATGCCGGCGGTCGCGCGACTGAGTCAATGCGACGGGCGGCAGCCTTGAGCGGAGCTCGGAATGGCCTTTCGTGCGGTCGGGCGCTGCGTCTTCTCGGCGCGAGCGTGCGTCGACCCGCTCCTGGGCTCAGGATGTGCCTGACCAGAATCGGTGTATGTGCATAATTTTTTCGTTCCTCTCACGAGCACGCGAGCGAGCACACCCCCCGCGCGAGGGCGCGCGCGAGACGCGGCGCCGGTGCGGCACGCGAGCGCGTCCTGCGCGGTGCCCTCCGTGTGCCCTCGCGGCAGCCCGGGGGCCTCGGCCCTCGGCCCCTCCCCAGTGGCTAGACTCGCTTGTAGAGTTAAGGTATATTCTCCCCCAATGGTATTATCGGTAAGGTAGAAAGCGCTTTCTACCTTAAAACGGAGAATAAAAACTTAAACTTTAAAAATCCAAGATCAGCGCAGGTGCTTGGTAGTATTACGTATGTTTGATCGTTGCGCTTGGTCGTTCGATATGTTGCGCGTTGACAGTCGCGTATATAGTTGAGGTTTGCAAAACAAGCTTGCGCTGTACAACTGGCGCACAGTGTCTCCAGCGAAGACGCACTGCACAACTTCAACGCATTGTTCGGATGTCTCAAGCGAAAACGTTGCACGTCTGGAAAGCATTGTGCGGATGTCTCGAGCGAATGCGCCCATTACAAATCTGCATTGTGGACAATTTGCCCAACGTTGCACTTAATTCGCATTCCGTGCTCACAACACTCCGCGTTTGGTGCCCCGATGGGAATCTGCTCACAACGACCCGTGCTCACGACAAGCCGTGATAACATCCATCCGTGATTGGTGGCACAGCCATCCGTGCTCACAGCAATCCGTGCTCACAGCAATGCGTGCTCACATTAGTCCGACTTCATCGTGGACAGGTGCTCACAACAATTCGTGATGTTCCAGCGTGGCACTTAAACATCCCAGTGAAACAACATCCGTTGCCCTATTTTGGTTCAAACTTGTTTAACTCTCAGTTTCACGTTTCACTCCCCACCCCGTGCTGTTCGGCGATTCCTTGGCCGGCGGGGATGGATGACGAGGTGTGTGGTGACGGCGGCGACGATGGCGCTGAGCACATGTGCGTGCCTGCGCTGCGTCCGATGCATCGTGGGCGGCTGGTCCTGGAAGGCAATTCCACAGTGTTCTTTATCTTCGGCGAGTCTGGAGGTTTGTGGTCCGAGCCGTACCGCCGCGCGTCACCACCAAGTCGGTTCGACGACGGCACGAGGCGTTTCTTCGGCGTTGCTTTGGGGAAGTGGAAGCTTCTCAGCACCGCAGCAGCTCAGCAGATTCAGGACCAACCTGGGGGCCATGGGCATGGTGATCTGATCATTGGCTCGCGTCTTCATGATGCTCGGCGCTTCCAGATATCAGGCGCATTGGTTCACAT